GGGGGCTGCCTGTAGGGGCCTCTCTACACAGATTGGAGGCCGATACTGTCAAATATGATTGACAATGTTTACTGAGGCCGGGCAGCAATTCCTCCAGAGCAATAGGACCAGAAGTGTTTATATTTATGACAAACCACTGAAAAGTAGATGTAAACCCCAAGTGAATAACATTTCGTTTGCTCTGCGTATCATAAACAATAATCCTTTGTTGCATCTCAATGCAGCTTATCTCCCGCAGCCACCTCCTGTGTACATGCACTCCAGCGATGGCTGCCATGGCATTTCTCAAGGCGGGTTTTTCCTAAAGCCGACAACAGTGGACCATGTCTGTGTAATGTGTGTTGAAATGGAAAATTGTAGTCTCCACCGTAAAGCCCGTGTGACAAGGTGACAACGCAGGTGGACAATTGTGAGACAGGGACAGAGTTGTCACGCTAGAACAGGACGTGTTGACAGAGCATGGTCACTCACCCTATAAACAGGAAGAGCCTGAACATAAGACCTTCCTGAAAAAGGGACTGACAGACAGAATCATTCGGTTTTCCTGAAGTCCAGATACACTCCATTGTGGTCACAGATTTCAGGGGGGGTCACAAAGGCAGTTTTTTTGGGAAGGGGGGAAATCTGAAGGGACCAATCACTCATCACTCCCAATTTGTCTCTAATGATAAAAGAATACAAAGAAATTGTAAATTAAGGTAAAAAAACCCGAAATGAACAATTCTGTGAATCCTTTTTTCCTCTCGCTGTGACATCACAATCATTGTTACATTTGTTACATTCGTTTTTTTTCTATTTGAAGATTAAAAAAAGATTCTTTGTAACGAAACAAAAAAGAAATCTCTTCAGATCTGACGCCTCTCTGTAGCGATGGCGGGAATCTCTGATTTCTCCGCGTCGTGCGTCCCGTCTCAGGAATGTCTGACCCGCGTCTGGAGAATTGTTATTCGGGTCCCTCATGTCCCGACTCGCTCGCCCTGCCGGTCACCTGGCTGGGGGTGGGGGTGGGGAGTGTGACGCAGAGAGATCTAAGTCTGGGGGGACGCGCTGTACACGTTGCCGGGTTCTCTGGACCTGTCCCTGCCTGTCGCGGCGGCGCAGCTTCACAATATGAGAGAGGCGACGAGCGCGGCGCTGTCAGTGTGAGAAATGATCTTGTTAGCCGGCCGGTGGCTTCTCAATGTTCCCGACGACAATCCCCGTGATTCCCAGCCGCAGATCGTTAGGTCACGCAGGTCAAACCTCAATCACATGCAAATTTCTTCCGAGCGATTGCGAAGCGCTCAGACGGACGCGCCGAAGAAGCTGACGCCAGTTTCCTGCAGAACAAAACAATGCGGAATTCTGAGGTCGCCGTTCAACTGTGAGCGGCGCAATCTATCAGAAGCTCCATAGAACCGTACAAAGGGAGCAGACTGCAGATCTTTAAAGGTCCATTCACATTTAAAGGAGAACTATGTGGTCAGTGCTTTTCCCCATAGTTCTCCTCAGGGTCACGGGAGGACAAACTAGCGTCCTCCCATCACCCTAGGCTCAGTATATAGGGAGCTACAGCTCGCGGTATACTGAGACGCCGCAGCCGGAGCGGATCCCGACATTACTGTTGAGATCCACCCAGCTGCGTGAGTGACAGCTGGCTCTGCCTATCTAGAGGCAGAGCCAGCTGTGCCCGCCCCCTCCCAGTCCGTTCTACCAGTCAGCGCTGGAGGATCAGAGCGACAGTCACGGCTCTCTGCAGGGACATGATCGAGAAGTGCGCGAGCGCCGGTATGTGTTCGCTCACTTCCCGATCTATTGAGCCGACCTGTGACAGTCTCATTGTCACACGTCGGCTCGAACTATGAGGATGAGTGATTTTCACTCGCCTCATAGTTCTCCTTTAAAGTGTTTTTTCCTCACATCTGTGCGTTACGTTTGCAATGGGCCCTAAGGCTCCATTCTCACATTAGCGGTTTTCTGCGCCTATTGGTACGCGCAAAAACGCACTGTACAAAAAAAATAATGCTTTACAATGTGTGTTGTTCACACTAGAGTGGCGCCCACGCGGTAGGAAAACGAGCGTCCTGCAAAAAAGTCCAAGCGCAATTTTTCTGGGTGGATTCTACACGTACCGGCTATCGTAATAATAGTAACGTTTGCGCGTTTTTGTGCCGCTATGAGCGAATGGAGCCTTGCCGCGCATTTTTGAGCCATGAGAAATGCACCTGACTAAATCTTTTCTTTAAGGGCCCAGTCACAGCATATCTAGTGCGTTCCAGGAGCGGTCCGAGCCCGGAATGCACCGGATCGCATAGATCAGGCCGGGCCACGTTCTGGGAAGGGAGGGGGCGTGGCGTTGCCATTCATGTCAATGGCACCGCAGACACGCCCCCCCTCACCTGCTAAAAAAGCCCCTGTGTGATAGGCATTTGGAAGTGACAAAACACTGTGCTGGAACTCCTGTGACAGCAAGGCTATCTCCACTCTTACTGAATACACAGAGCGGAGAACGGACGTTCTCTGCTCTGCTCCCCGCTCTCCATCCCGAGGATCTCTGGCCGGTGAAGAGAGGTACATGGCGGCGGGGGGAGAATCCCAAAGCAGGGCTAAATGTAGAAACCAACTTACCGCCCGGCGCCCGGAACTGCATGCCCTTGGCGTCGGGAGATTCCACGCCCCTCCGCTCCCTGCCGCCCCGAGGCCGGGCCTCGGTGGCCGCGTGGCAAATCCGGCCCTGGGGGCACACACACAAACGGTCACGCCGTAGGCTGCTCATGCAGGATACAATGCATCACATACAACTACTAAACCTGAACTGAAACACGATTGTAAATGTTGTGTTTATAGTTGAATTTTATGCTACAATGTAGACAAAAAGAATCCTGAGGCAGTGAAGAAACTCCAAGGATAATAGTAATTTGTGCATATAATGAAAAAGATCTCACGTAGATAGAAGAAAACGAATGGCGGACGCAGTGTCCAACAACTAAATATAGAGCCACTGATACTAAACTAGAACAATGCAAAGGGAAGAATAGGAGAGCGGTGGGAGCTCCGCGTGATAGTAAACAAAAAGAAACAAAGTAGCAGAATAATCCTTCATGGTGCAGCAAACATGAAAAACATTTCTTATGAAACAAACAAAAGCATTTGCTCACAAGATG